TTTTATTTAATTTAGCAAAAAATAATTAAAATATTAAAGATATGTTTAATATTCCTATTGCTTAGTAAACAATTGAAAAATGGTAGAATAGTCTTTTGTTCATTTATCCTTATCCAGTCCGTCAAACCAAATATTAGATTCACTAAAAATAGTCATTTCTAGACATCTAATCTCATGAGAAAATAAACACGGAATACACATCCAATCCAACCAGATAGTCTGGGGGATTTATAGTCTTAAGATTCAAGTCTGATGGATTCTAATCCCCCTATATACAATCCGTATGTTTAATTCAAGGGATTATGGGGGATTATTTATTGTTCGGATTGCTTATCCAATAGAGGGAGATGTCCATAGTTTGGTGCAATTTTAGTTTGTCAGACATGCAGTTCGGCCGGACTCTGTATTCCTCATATGAGCGACTAAACAATCCTAGACGGAGGGTGAGATTATTTCCATAGGATTAGTATCCCATAGGACTAATGTGTGAAATGTCCATTTTACCCTCATGTTATTATTTAGTAAACAATTGAAAAAGGGTAAAATAGTCTTTTGAATATTTATAAATTATTTTTTTAGTGTTGTTAATTTAAATTATATATTAAATAAAAAATATAAATTATAAATTACAAGGGTAAAATAGTCTTTTAAACATTTATCCTTATCCAGTCTGTCCAACTAAACATTAGATTCACTAAAAATAGTCATTTCTAGATATCTAATCTCATGAGAAAACAAACACGGGATACACATCCAATCCAACCAAGTTTTCCGGGGGATTCACAGTCCCAAGATTTAAGTCCGATGGATTCTAATATCTCCTTATCCTGTCCGTCCAATCAAGTGGTGTTTGTTTGGAAGGATTCAAGCATGTAATAGGATTAATAATCCATCCGGATGAATAGTCCGTTGTTTGATTTAAATTTTTTGCATCGGACTATGAATCCCAAATCTATGGGATTGTTCTATCCCGTTGGGGGTGGGACATAATCCATAAGATAACTCATTCCATAGAATTAGGTAGTAAAATTACATTTTTGACCCTCTACTATTTAATATCTTTTTCAAAATAAAATTTATTTATTAAATTATTTAGTAAAGTAAAATAAAATTTAAAAATCTCAATTACAAATTAAAATAAATTTATGTAATTTTTATTAATATTCTATTTATTTAATTTTTTAAAAGTTCTAGTAAAAAAATTAAATAAAATTTATAATTCAAATTATATATTCCTATTATTTAGTAAATAATTTAAAAAGGCAAAATAGTCTTTTGAGCATTTATCATTCCCCATAATATTTCAAACAAACATAGGATTCAATAGAATAATCTCATCAAGACATCTAATCCCATAACTAAATAAACATAGGATACAAATGCAGTTCAACCAAATAATTTAGAGACAATGTATTTCAAAACTAATAGTCCAATATCACAATCATCTCTTATTCACTCCGTCTAAACAAATATGCTAAAAATGCTTTACTAGCATTGGAAGGTGGTCCTGCTAAGTACTAAAAGTATTTATTATTGAAATTCTTTTGGTGTCAAACTTTACTATGACTTCCTAGAATTCAAAACAATTTCATGAATTGCAAATTCAATATGGTGCATAATCATTTGAGTAATCCCAATAAGAAAGTATTGTTGGGCCCCGCGGCCTCTTCATGGAGTCTATTTCAATAATTAATTATTTCAAATGAGTACGGTTTCTTTTAAATTTATGAGCGCATGTCTAGCATTTTTTTAAAAAATTAAAAAATTTAAAAGTTATTGAAAAGATAAAAAAAATTAACACTATTCACATGTTTAGACGAAAAAAAAAAAGTTTGAATAGACAGAGAATAAAAACCATAAATGCCCTCTTTTTTTCCCTCCAATAGTGCACTTTTTGGTATAATAATAAATAAATTAAAAAAAAAAAAAAGAAGCATTGCAGCACAGTGCAGCATAGTGCATTGCACGAAACCTGCACTCACATTCCCTGACAGTGTAGCACAGTTGTTAGAAGGGTAGCAAGGTCATTTTGTTAGTTGATATAATATTTTAATACATATTTTTTTGTAAAAAGTCAAAAAATTATTCTAAACATATATTTTTTTTCCTCTACTTTTTTAACCAAAAAGTCAAAAAATTAACTTAAATAGTTCATCCCAAACAATTCCTTATATAAATTTTAGAGAATTTGAAGAGCATATGAGTTCATTATGAGTTTCGTTTTGATAATTTGAACCGTTTATTTAGTGAGACCCTCCGTGTATATCATCTATAAAAAAAAATTTAGTCAATGAGATATTAAATAAACATACTTGTTCATTTTTTCGAAAAGAAATGTGATATAATTAAAATGTTAACATTATTAGATTGATCTAATTTTTTTTATAGAAGATATATGCTGGAAGGAGATGATTATTGGGAAAATTTGTAATGTGCACCCTTAAAAGGGAGAATATTGAAGAAAAAAAAATTATAATGAAAGTTATGAATATTTGTGATGTGTTATGTTAATTTTTCATAAAGGTATGAATGACAAATTTATGATATACACCATAAATGAAAGTTATACTTTTCATGGTGATTAGAAAAATGATGCTATTTTATGATATTACTAGTATATGCCCGTGCCTAAAGGCACGGTATAAATATTGTGAGAATTAAAATATAATTGTAATTTATATATTAAAAATTTATGGAGTTTGTAATATTTTTTGATACAAATATTAAAAAAATATAAAGAAATATTATTTTGGTTATAAAGAAATATAATTTATCTAAATAACTGAAATTAATTAAATTATGTTCCATTCAGAATCACTTAATATTGTTATTAAACTCAATTGATTAAATTATTAAATTTTGTTCCTTTTAAACTCAATTGATTAAATTCCATTCTTAATTACCTAATATTGTTATTATGAGAGAGTTATTTATTGTTATTATGAGAGAGTTACCACCCAACAAAATATATATTTGTAATGAAAACATATTATATCATTTTAATATTTATGTTACAAAATTTTAGAGTGATATTACAACATACTTTGAGTGGTTTTGAGAAATTGATTAAATATTGACTTTTAACTTTGTTTGACTTTATTGAAAAAACATATAAAAAAAAATAAAAAGATAATATCACCCAAAATAAATTTAAAAAACGATTTTTAACTTTTAACCAAATACGAAGAACCTTTTAGTATAGAGTTGGTGAGCATCCTTAAGAAGCAAATCCACCTGGGTTGCCTCCCTCTCACTTTTTCCCTTATCTCATCAATCTTCTCTTTCCTTTTCCTTTTTATTTGTTTTTCTTGGGAAGAGATTTCCCCTCCCATGCCTCTCTGTCTGTCTCTCAAATTTCACCATTGTTGTTCAAGTTTGAGGTTAGAATAGGAAGGGATTTTGCAAAACTTTCTCTTTGAAACAAAACTCACAAAAAGAAAGGTATTGCAGCACAGTGCAGCATAGTGCATTGCACGAAACCTGCACTCACATTCCCTGACAATGTAGCACAGTGGTTAGAAGGGTAGCAAGGTCATTTTGCTAGTTGATATAATATTTTAATACATATTTTTTCGTAAAAAATCAAAAAATTATCCTAAACATACATCTTTTTTTCCTCTATTTTTTTAGCTAAAAAATCAAAAAGTGCACTTAAATATTTCATCTCAAACAACTTCTTATATAAATTTTAGAGAATTTGTAGGGCATGTGAGTTCATTATGAGTTTCGTTTTGATAATTTGAACCGTTTATTTAGTGAGACCCTCCGTGTATATCATCTATAAAAAAAAAATTTAGTCAATGCGATATTAAATAAACATACTTGTTCATTTTTTCGAAAAGAAATGTGATATAATTAAAATGTTAACATTATTTAGATTGATCTAATTTTTTTTATAGAAGATATATGCTGGAAGGAGATGATTATTGGGAAAATTTGTAATGTGCACCCTCAAAAGGGAGAATATTGAAGGAAAAAAAAAACTATAATGAAAGTTATGAATATTTGTGATGTGTTATGTTAATTTTTCATAAAGTTATGAATGACAAATTTATGATATACACCATAAATGAAAGTTATAATTTTCATGGTGATTAGAAAAATGATGCTATTTTATGATATTATTATAAAAAAAATATTGCCATATGCACCTTTTAGGAGACAGATATAGTGCCCATCTCTCAATTTTATTATTATTTTTTTTATTAGTGCCTTTTATGTGTAGGCTTTTGTGTTTTTGCTATTCCTACACTGATGTCTGATTCTGTTTGTACTACTATGTCTCTTCTTCTTATCAATGAATTTCTCTTCTTCTTGTAGGCAAAAAAATAAAAAATAATTGTTTGATTCTTTACAAAATCTAGCCTATTGGTTAGATATTTGATGCTCTCCCTGAACACTCTTTTCCAACCTAAAAAAAAAGACTAACCTTGTTACAAGAATAATTAATGTTCTTCTAGATCTTCTAAATACATTTATTGTAAGTAATAGATGTAGAGAGAAATTAAGTGTACATGTAGAAGCTCTCGTGAATCTCTTCAACAGGATAAATTTGATCACAATGAAGGTTTTTTTTTTTTTTTATTTCTTCTTCTTCTTCTTTCAATTAGGGAGTCAATTTGCGTATACCTTAATAAAGATCTTAAAGATCGAACAAACCTCTAATGCTCTCTTAGATGATTCGAATTTAAGATCTTAGATCTTATCCTCAAGTCTTTATTATTCAATCAACTGTATGGGGTTATCACACTCATGATTAATGGAAACTTACTAGCAAATCATTAGTGATTTTGAGTTCTTGAAGTCCTCTTCTTTAGCGAACCACTAGTGTGCCAATATTTATAGGGATATTGTTAATGGAGAAAAAGGGCTTTGTGGATTTCAAGTATTTAACATAGAACTTTTGCAAAGACAATATTAATATAGAAGTTAAGGTAGCAAATTACATCATGTATGTATGGGGAGTGATAATAATATCATATGATTAATTAACATCATCAGAACAGTAACATTCCAAGGATTGTATTTATTGGATGTAATTAAAAACATATGGCAAAGTGACCAACAATATTACATTTAATGAAAAATTCTTAAAATATATATATTTAGAGAGATATCTCAAACTACCACTATATTTGTAGAAATTAAGTTAACAAAATTCAAATGAACAATTATAAAAACTCACATATATAGATATATCAAATAAAGTCTACCACTCAACCCCATGATGAAGATGAGTTGCCATAGCCCTCTTAGCATTTCCATCTCCAAGTTCATGAATTTTTCCCATGTTAAAACCACCATTACTCACCAAATTCTCTCCATAGCCACTGACGATGACTCTTCCGCGGTCTCCATGGCTCTTTCCACTCACTTGAGCCCCAACTCCAACCCCATAGTACTCCTCATGGTTAAAACTCTCAAGAAGATCAACTCTACTTGACATAGAATTGGTAATCACCTTGCTAATCTCACTTACCCCACTAGGATTAGTATTAATATAACTAGGGTAAGTCTGGTCTTCTTGTCTAGCCATAGAATTCTTCTCTCCCTCAGTCTCCCTATACTTGTTGAGATAAACCTTTAGAGTCCCAACATAATTCTCAAACCCTAGTGTTGTCATAGCCCACAAAAGATCATCCCCATTGATGGTCTTTCTCTTCTCTCTTTGACACTTATCGGAGGCTTCACCAGTTATGAAGCTTATGAACTCGGAGACACATTCTTGGACGGTTTCTTTGGCTTCTTTCGATATCTTGGCATTGGTGGGGAGGGACTTTTTCATGATCCGGCTCACGTTAGCGATGGGGAGGAACCGGTCTTGTTCTTTGGAGGAGCTGTCGGAGATGTTCCCGGATGATGGGCTCCCAATGGGGCTTGTTTGGCTTCTTTTTCCTGTCATGGGGAATAAAAGAGCAAGTGAAGGAAAAGGGTGAGAGAAAGTGAAGGGAAAAGGAAAAGAGAGAGATATTTGATGAGTTAAGGAGTTAGGGGTTTTAAGCTAAGTGAAGAGGAAAAAAGAAAGAATAGAAAAAGAGTGGCTAGGCGGTTTGATGTGGACAGAAAAGGAAGGGGAAAAAAAAATTGCTAATGAGAACCATTAGCAAAAGGGTGGTGTGGGAGGAGTGTGGAATCTGGGGGGGAAGGAGTAGTGCTGTTTGGGGTCTAAGAAAAATCAATGAAGGATAATGATATGATGACATGTTGTTTCATTGAATTTATGTGCAACTGAAATCATCAGATGACACGTGTAATTTGAGATTTGGGTGGTATTGTTATTAACAGTTCGTTTTATGAATAATGGTATGATAATTTTGTTTTGCATACCGAATTGTGAAGATTGTCATAGTGGTTACTTGCTTCAGAGTTTTTAATTGGTAATTAGCCAACTGAGCTTTTTTGGTCCTTATTTGACATGTCCAAGTTGCTCTCTCTCTCTCTCTATATGTCTTTAAAGGGATTTTTAACTGCATTGGACATGACAAAATGTAAACAACAAATATTACACAATTTTTGTACCTTTTTATCTAGGTCTTTTCTCACTAAATAGTAAATATATCTCCTCTGTTTTCATGATAATGTAATATATGTCTTCTGCTCATTTTTACTATTGTTGACAAGGTTTGGTTTGTAATCTCATCCAAATATACTTTTCTTCAAGAGATTTGGACTATACCCTTGTTCATTATGTTAATTAGATGATTGCATACTTTATTTCAAGAAAAATTCAATACAATGTTGAGGTCAAGTTATTACTTGGTATAGGTATTGTCATTTAATAATGAACACGTGGTAGTTAGTGAATTGTGCTGAATTTGATTGCTGTCGATATTGTCCATCAGACCACTAAATTATGATTGTGTTAGAAATAATTTAAGATTTCAGAATTCAGTTTGTGAGGGAAAAAAGAAAAGGAAAAAAAAAAAAAACCCTTTTGCTTTTCTGGCCTTCCCTGGGGATGTTAGGACTATTTGATGTCTTTGCTCTCTTGCAGTTAAATTTAGAGTTGGGGTCTCACCCATCTCATGATTTACTTCAAAATTCTCAATTGATAATGTTGAGTCATTCAAATTTCAAAAAAGAAAAAGAAAAAAAGTGTGACAGAAGAATGATTCAGAAAAAAAAAAACTACTACCGCAAAAAAGTAAGGTTTTAGAGACCAAAATTATATATTAGGAACCAAATATTTTTATTGTAAAAAATGCCGTTATTGTATTTTTAGCAATGAAAATTGGACATTAGTGATGAATTATTATCTTTTTTGAACCAAATTTTTTTTCTAAAAAAAATAAATCATTTTGAGACCAAATTATTTTGTCCCTAAAGGTGTATTTATTAGTAACATTTTCAAAATTTTGTCACTAAAAACTTTATTTTTGACTTTTCAATGCGATCTTTTAGCGACTATTTTCATAACGATAGAAATTAATCTCTAAATGCCTTTTATAATAAAATTTTAATTTTCAAAATTTAAAATATTTAATATCTAAAACTCTTATATATGGTATACAATCATTATGGTTAATTTCCAATTTTGATATGTCATTGTCAACTACATTCAAATATTATAACCATGATATATATATGACCTGGGTTTGGGATAGTTGCCACGCATAATAATATTGAAGTAATATAGTAATATAATAATTTGTTGTGTGGGCATTTGGACCTATTTTGGCGTATCTATATTTGATAAGTAATATTGAAGTTAGATTATTTTCGATATTTTACAGTTTTACCCTTTTACCTTAATATTATTATATATTTATAGTTGAAGTGTTGCATTTCTTTATATTACTATAATTCTTTTTCATATCATACCAAAACCACAACGATTGTGGATATAGCCTTATTTTGGAGTGAACCTTGATTTCATTCTTGTATTATTTTTATTTATATTTTATATTTCACCAATCTTGATCATGTGTATTAATTTATTATTAAAAAAAATTGTTTGAGTGAGATGATCGTGAGTAATGAAATAGAAGAACAACAATTCTACGGTTCAAAAAAAAAAAAAATCCCAAACTTTACTCTAAATTTGTAATCAATGGTCAAGATTCATTTATTGTGTGATCACATAATAAAAAGTTTGAATATACACCATTAATTTAAAATTATGAATAATTTTTTGGACATATTTATAAATTGCTAGTGTATAACAATATATCATTTATTAAATAAAAAAAATTGTTGAGATGGGTTGAAAGATTTTGGTCAATATTTTAACTTTAAATCCATACCAGTGGACAAGGTATATATCTTCGTACGGCTTGAAAAAGGAACAAAAGGCACACCCAAGCAAGCACATATTCTTCACTTTGTAGCTCTCTTTTGTGTTTGTTGTGTTCCTCTAGATTCTATCTCATCTCTCTTCTTCAAATGCCCAAAGATCATGATCAACAAATACTAAAAGAAAAATGTTTTGGAGTATTAATTGAGTACCCTCAATTCATTCCTAATGTCATGAAATGGATTATGTGAAAGGGCGGATCTACACTCCTCATCCTTCCTCTCTTTATTTCTCTCTATTCTCTCTTTTTTTTCACTTTATTATGGGTAAAAATGATGGTGTTGTATTAGGAGATGTTGCATAGTTGATACTAAAAATATTCCCAAAATAAAATCTTTTGACTAAATTTATTTTGATTTGACTCGAACTGTACTTAAATTTAAATCTATAACATACACTTCATTTCTAAAATACAAGTGTTTGGTTGAGTCTTTTTTGTGTTTTTTTTTTTTTTTGAATTTTTTTTTTATATTTTAGTAAAAAAAATTTACTTTTAAATGCACCTAGTCTAGACACACCTAAAAAATAAAATATTTGTCAAGAAATTTGAAAAAGATTTAGTAAAAAAAACTCAAAAATATGTTGAATTTATTATTATTTTTACCTTTAGTGAACTTTTTTTTAAAAAAAAAAAATTCTTCACAAATATTTTAATTTTTAAATGTATCTAAATTAAATGTATTTAAAAAAATTTAAAATATATTTGACTAAAATATAAAAAAATTAACTAATAACGAAAAAAAAATACTAAAACCAAATTACTCAAAAACAAAAGTTGCTTTGAATGGTTTTGCTATATTAAAATGTTAGGTTCGTCATTATCCTTTTCTTTCTTTGATGGTTTCACAAAAAAAGAAGTGTGGTCTTAGCTCTCATGTTATGTTTTTTTTTTAATTGTTTTTTATCGACAAAATAAATTTTATTGATGCTATTACACACAATTCAGTGTGTTTGGTTTGAGTTTTCTGGATTAAATTTTTTAAAAATTGAGTTTTTTAATTTTTGTATTCTTTTGTTTTTAGTGAATATTTTTTAAATTTTAAACATTTTTTTTACTTTTTTAGATGCACCTTAGTTAGATGTATCTAAAAAGTAAAAAAATTGTGAAAAAATATTTTAAAAATTAATAAACACATAAAAATATAAAAAATGTATTGAATTCTTGTATTTTTTTTGTATTTTTGGTATTTAGTGAATTTTTAAAAGATTTTTTTTACAATTTTTTTACTTTTTAGGTGTATTTATGTTAAGTGTGTCTAAAGAGTAAAAAAATTGCTTAAAATATTAAAAAAATTCAGTAAAAACAAAAAAACACGGAAAATAAGAATGTAAAATTTTCTGAAAAGTATTTTCTGAAAAATGAAAACAAATAAACTGATTACTTTGCTCTCATTTTTTTTTTTATCGATAAAAAGAAAATATTAATAAAAATTAGAATACAAGACAACACACAAACATCAATAAAGAGAATGTGTGCAAAGATCATCAAAGCACAACTAAATGGTCTTGTAATTTCTTTCAATACTAGTATTTATGTCTTTGTAGTTTTTGTATTTACATTTTTTTTTTCTAACTCAAATGTTTAATGGTTACACAATAAGCTCCGTATCACCAAATAACCAACAACTAGAAAAGTTAATGTTAGCAGATATTTTAATTTTATAATGTGTCATATGCTGTTTCTCTTTTCTTTTCTACCTAGTTTGCTTCCCATTCTAGTCTCCAAAACTTCCTAAATAAGTCTTCCTAGTCTTCTCTAAGTCTTCCCATTCCTATCCATTCCAAGACTTCCAAGGTAAGCCATCCAAGGTCTTGGTCAAGTCCACCAATTCTTATCCATCAAGAACCTTGTCTAAGAAGTTTTCATTTATATATATATTGAACTTATGTCATATCTTAGAACATACGAGAGAAGAAGTTTTGGTTGTGTTGTTATGTCTTGAGTGAGATTATCAGGCAAATAAAAAGGGTGTGTGTGATAAAGCTTTGGGTTCAACCAATTGTGCACTATTGGTGAACCATATGACTTAGTCAGGCTGTTGTATCCTGGGGGGAACAAGTCAAGATTTTTTCTGCTGCACCGGTATGAGGCTTTGCCTAACCGCAGAGGGCTTGAATCTCCTTAAAGAGAGCGAATTTCCTACACCTCAGCCCTTTCAATAATTATTGTAATTTCTACTATTTGTATTTTCTAGTGTTTTATTTATAATTATCACCAACAGTTAAGAAGTGTAAAAATATTAACATCGGTTTGGTCAATTAATTTTATTAAAAACTCTAATACTTTTGCACCCAAGCACACCCAAACTCTTGTTCAATATGTTTAGATGTAAAATTGTCAGTAATTTTTTTTGTTTTCAAGTTTAGAAATTCCAACTTTGTAAGGAGGCACAAAATAAATGTATTAGAGTGCAAATTCATAAGCATTATTTCAATATATTTATAACTATTTACAAGAGATAGTTTTGGAAATTAACACACTTTATACTTTGATTTTTCAGAAGTGTACAATCTTTTCAAAAAAGCTACTCACCAAGAATTTTAACTGGAAAATTGATGTGTGGTGTAAATTCTATTCTTGTATTGTGGGACACATATATATTTGGAATGAATTTGTTTCTGGTGTATATAGTATTGTTGCACTCTTTTTGGAACATCTTAATTTGAAAAGATGGACTAATAAAATCGGACATGAAGAGGGAACT